AAAACAACAACACATGTTTGCGGTGAGAAAGTACTAACCGATCAAAAATAGGATTTTTTGTGGGGAAAAGAATAGGATTTTTGTTCAGATGGGGTTGGCAGCTCTGCCTGAATATAAGAGGCATCAATCTGCGTATCAGTCTGTTTTTTTTTTAATACAATTTTTGTCAGTAAAATACAACTTTTGGAATTGAACGTGAAGAATACATTTTTGAGGTTGGCAGGTCTGGATTACTCCTCAGATAACAAATGGGCATGTACAGTACATGTACATTTACATTTTGTACGTACATACAATGTAGGCCTACGGTACATGTAATTTCTACAAGACATGCTCATGCACATCTACTGTCATGTTCTGGAATTAAGAATGGAAAGCGTGACTTTAATACAATAATATTCACTCAATATACTTCAAAGTGACTCTTCAGAATAATGCAATCATAGCCCTAATTATCTCATGTACTGGTATTCATAGACGTGGCTTATCAAACAGATGGAAATAATGTCTTCAATAATATACAGTGTATGCATTGAATTTATCAATGTATTTACAAAATAACATTTCAGAATTTATATGTATCAGCCTTTTGAACTTACGTCCATGTACAGTGTATACTGGTAATTCTCGCTACCCCAAATAGCGATTCTGCCGAGATCCGGGGAAAATCCTGAAAAGCGCATTGCATTATGGGATAGCTTTTCGACATTACAGCTTCCTGTGCAGGCGTTCGTGATCACAACCCTCTCTTTCACGGTAGAGTTTAACGGCCTTTTGTGCTAAAGTCACTAATTCTGCCCGAAGCTTTCCATTGCATATTATAATCTGTACAAATTACACTGATTGGCATCGATTTTAGCGTGCGTGAAAACTCTGCACAGCGAACACAGGCGCTAGCGCCAGCGGGATGGGACTCTATACCGGAAGTTGTAGTGACGACCCGAGAGAGTGAAAATTACCTCGTCTCGCGAATTTCGAGATTTTCGTACCTATTTAGGGTAGCGAGAATTGTAATTGGGGTTTTGTCAAACAAATGGAAAGAATGACGTTTATATGCACTAGTAGTGCTCATACTATAAAGTAACTCTTCTGGTTGTTATACATGTATGCAGACCCAATCTCACTGAGAAGTCATGTACTGATACATACGTGGGTTTCAAACAGATGGCAAGAATGATTTTAATAAAGCGTTCAATCAACAGACGGTACATTCTTTGAGGTTCATGCGACGACATTAGTCGTTGATTGTTCCTCACTGTATGTACTGTGCACCTAGCAGTTGTCCTTGTCGTCATCTCAAGTACAGATAGACTGGGATGTACATGTCACCACCATCCTCATTCACACAACGGTAAACAATGTTTTGTATGATCATGAGGACTCTATACATGTAGTTTCATATATATACGTATAATCCGTCTGAATGATGGTAAAAAAAGAATTTTGTATGATGACCCTAGTATTATATACGTCGTGTATGTAGACGATAATTCATTAAAATTTTTGTGTGTGAATGAGACTGAATGTCGTGTTGCAAAATGTGTAAATGAAAGTTGAGGCATTGTTTTTGATGAGAATTATAAAGAATCAAAGACAAAGTCATACATGTATGATCTTTCACCATTGTTTAAAATTGGGTACCTCCATCCTAAACAAGGTATTTTTGGGGGTACTTATAATCTTAACATACTTTTAAGTTACAAGTCAATGTATAAATGTTTCTTCACATGTTTCTAATACGATTTTTTTCCTCTTGTGTGAAAAGGGGTACATGTAATACCCTTTTCTAACTGCACTGATTTTCATCGGATGCATCCGGACGCATCCGATGAAACGTCCAGTTAGAAAGCAACAGAGGAGAAAAAGGCGATTAAATAGCCGATGAAAAGAAGAGAAATAGGCGATTAAATTCTCATTCTATCGGTGTGACACCGATGAAACGTCCAGTTAGAAAACGTTCGGGAGAAAAAGGCGATTAAAACAGCGATTAAAATGGTCAAAGGTCGCAGTATACGCACGCTTTATCGTAACCAGCTGTGTTGACTTATGGTTGAACATGCTGCATGCTACATGTAGCTAGATGGAATGGGGGCTTAATAATTACGCAATAATTCTTCACTTCCAGCAAGGGCTCGCCACAGCGAGTGAATTTCACCGGCAGTTAGAAAAAGACAGGGGGAAAACTGCGGTTTCATCTTTGTTTACATAAGGAAAATTCAATCAGTAGAACCCAGTTAGAAAGCAGTATTAGTCTTATTGCCATCTACAGTTCAAATAGAGCTTTCTTTATCACCCTGTCATTGGGATCCGAGAATGCAATGTAATGTAAAAGGATGGGAAGAACCTTATATATAGCGATGCCATCTGATATATGAAATGAAAAGAGAACAAGGTATGTTTTCATGTGCGTCATGACTCATAATTCATATTGCAGGCTCTATCCTATATCCCCTCTCTCTTAAAAATCGATTGAGATGCTCAATGGCAGCAGTGTTCCCCTGGATGATTCCCATTCTTCAATCCATCATCATGAAAGGATACAACCCTGCCTGTGTCCTCCTTGAATACATCCAGGATGGGAGGTTCCTCATTCTCCATTCTTCTCTTATACCCCTTTCAAACTGGCTTGATTTTCATCGGATGCATCCGGAGTCCAGACGCATCCGATGAAACGGCCAGTATTGAATGGTACAGAGGAGAAAAAGCCGATAGAATAGCCCATGAGAAGAAGAGAAATAGGCGATTAAATTCTCCTGCTCAAGAGCAAGAGCAATTCTCTTTCTATCGGTGTGACACCGATGAAACAGCCACTGTGAATCCGTTCGAGAGAAAAGGCTGATTAAAAGGCCGATGAAAATGGTCAAAAGTTGCAGTGTATGTGCGCTTTATCGTAACCAAACGTGTTTGTTGACTCAGACACAGACCAGTTTTGGCCCCCCCCCCCCTTAAAACTGAACTGGCAAAACTTAAGTACACATGCCTTTCCAATAATATATATAGTTTTATATAGGCATTCAGGTAATTATGCTACTTTTTTTCTTGCTTGTCAGAGAATTTAGGAGTGATATGGAATTCCCAAAATGTGATAGTGATGCTTATCAGAAATTGGTTGGAATATTATGCCCCTAAATTAAAAAAAAAATTAAAAAAAATCTTGGATCTGACCATAATGCATGTATACAGTTTCCCTTTAAAGGCCAAGTAAGGCTTTGGTAACCCCCAACAAGGAATCTGTCAGATAGTTAAATTTCAGTTGATGCTTGAAAAGAGAGAGTACCGGTATCTGAGCCGTTGCAAAGATAATTTTGTTAATAATTTGGATCAAAATAAGCAGGTGAAAATGTGCAGATCCACTATCATGAATAATATATATTAACTGGCTTCCCTTATGAGGTTTGCAGGGTTTTAAATATTTGTTGTTGTTGGTACAATTCAACCAATGGTAAATGGTAATTTTTTTGAAAGTCAAAAGTGGTCAATAGTGCCTTTAATAGTGTGTGGAATCAAGAAAACAGGATAAAACCATGTTAAGAAGAAGAAGAGAGAAGATAGTTTGATGGTTTCAGTCAGAGTCAGAAGAGATTTGTCATGGATCAGAGCGAAGGCAAGAATGTTTTTTACTTCCTTGGATTGCTTCCAGTTCCATCCAAACCAGGGAGAATCCAAAAGATTCTCACGATATTGACTTCATGCGTAATCCCTTTGTACTGACCTACATGTAAATGTAGAAGTATCTGAAGCAGACCTGGAATGAAAGCTCTACTATTATTCCTCCTGTCCCCCTTCTTCTTTCTGAACTCATTCTGCTTCTTTGTTTTCCCACTTCTTGTAATGGCCAAAATTAAACTGATTGAATCTTTGCGCTGCATAATACATATGACCATTTGGTACAATGGTCTGAAAATCAGACTATTACTTACTGGCTCTATAGCTCCTAAGTCGATTCAACAACTAATAGTCATTTCCTTGTAAAATAAGGTTCTTTCAAACATATGATTTGTTAGAAAGGCCTGTTGCATACAATAGTCCTATTTGTATGTAATTACTGGTCCAGAATAGGGATATCTAATTTATTGTCCGTGATGCTAAAAACTGTAGGCCAGCAGCTTTGGGTGAGTAGGTCGTGAAGATATTTAGGGAGGGTTAGCAACTGTGGGGTATGCCACCCCCCCCCCCCACCAAGATGCAGAGAGAGAGAGAGAGAGAGAGAGAGAAAGGAGGGGTGGGGGTGAAAAGCCTGAAAATGTAATCTGTTTCAGCAGCTCCTAGAAACTATCCCGGAACCATGGTTGGCTGTAAGTCGATGTGAAGTGCCATGGTGAATAAAGTAAATGATGACATGTGCATAATTGAATATATCTAATTTTTGGAGGAAATTCCCTTCTTGATAATTTTGAATATTGATTCTGTGGACCTATTTTTAACCATAACTGTAATTTATTCATTTGAGGACCATTTTTTCATTTTCTTGTTCCATATTTTTCCTTTCAAATTCATCAATAAATTTTTTTGTCAAAGAATTTGGGTCACCCCTTTAAATGATATAGTGATACCACTTGGAAACACATTTAAATGTCCTCTACTTAAAAACCAGGATTCGGTTTGAAAGATAGTCTTTCCAAAACTAATAACTCATGGCCCTCCACCTTAAAAAAACAGATTTTCTGTATGATCCAGGATATGAATCCCAAGGTTTATCTGGCTCTGTGGGAAAATTTGCAAGTAAAAATTTGCAGAAAATTATCATATTGACATTATTTATTCCCGTTTTACATTACCACTGCTTGATATTCTGCAGTGTGGTGATTTTTGCTGTGGAATTATTGACAATTCTTATACTCCGTCTCTAATTTAGTCATATTCTGTTTCTATGTATTCCCCTCTCATCCCACTCTCTCTTTCTTTCTCTCTCTCTCTCTCTCTTTCCGCCCTTGCTCCTCCCCCTTTTTCATGCTATACTCTCTCTTCCCCTTTCCATCTGTCCTATTTTCTGACTATAGGTCTATGGTTTAATGCTCTGGCAGACGGATTGAGTGGCGCAGATGTTCTAGGCAAACTTTGAATTAATTAGCCCCCTACTGACCACTAACGGTGTGCTGTCTTTCTCTATTTCGGTTCAGTATTTGTAGGGTGAGTAACTGAGTATGAGTATTGGTTTCTTCATAGAAGCAAAGTGCTCCTGTTTTAAGAGGAGGTTTTGAATGTTCGACAAATACAGCTTTGAAATTTTTCTGTGGAGAGGGATTAATTTTGTATGTGGAATAGATCCCTCCAATGTACATGTTTGCCAAGTTTATATACAGCTATGAGTATGATAGACAGTTAGACACGTTTGCTGCACAGGTACCTCTGCACAAGTTAAAGGTAAAGACCAGTTATGGTCATGCGATTGCACTGTGAAAGAAACGTTGTGGAATCGATCAGAAAAGGTTGATCATCTAGCATCTAGCATCTGCAAGGTTCTGGAATCATCAAAATGATAACAAATTTGGCCCAGTCTTCGTAAAGTTACAAGCACTATACACAGAAATATGTATATGGGACTACCCTATATCTCTCACAGACCATGAGAGAAACAAATTTACCAAATATATGAATTAGTAGGCGGTTTCCCGGCAAATTTTGTATCATCATGTATTAGTCAAAACATATTCTTTCACATGATTGGTAATGAGAGCTTCCATTTCATTTTTTGAAATTGGGGCGTTTCCAATACTGGTCTTTACCTTTAAATCTGTTGGGACTGCACACACACACAAAATTGACTTATAATGCAAAATTTGACTTCGGATGTGTTAATAACCACATGTTTTTTAGGCATAGTTTGGTCCCCAAAAATCATTCCATTTAGGGAAAATTTGACTTGTGCGACCACGAGTAATGCAGATTTTTCTGTAAGTAAATGAACAATATTATTTTTTGAAATTATGTACATGTATTAAGAAATATAGTTGGAAAACAATTGGAGATTGTTAATTCTCATACATGTATGTTAAGAACGTTTGTGTTCTATAGAAGCAATATTGTAATGTTTTTTTTTAAACATTGAACATTCTATTAAAAAATAAATCATTTATTAGCCCTCTCCAGAAAGACATGTTTTTAAAGAAAGGAATATGTTCGAACAGAGAAGAGATAGAGGTTTACATGAACATGTACAGGTATGTAGTGGGGATAAGAGAAGAAAGCTTGGGAATAGAGAGGGAGGGAGATTGAGAAAGAGAGAGAGACAGAGAGAGAGAGAGAGAGAGAGCATCTTAAAGACATAATGGATATATTAAAGGTAAAAATGAATGTCTTATCACCCCATTTCTATCAACATCTTCTATGCTGTGTCTGACCTCTTCAATCCAAGGATAGTGAATGAGTAAAGGTGACTGGGTTCAGAGGTCAAGAGGTCAAGTCCAGGTGTACCTAGTTGCAATGTCTCTCAGGGGAAATCTACATGTATGTCTAGGGATTTACGTTGACACTGGGGGATCAGAGACAGGCTGAGCTCACCTAGCTAGGCCATAAGAAATTCACTGAATCAGCACTTTTGTAGAAATGGGTAAAAAATTATAGAGAGCTAGCGAGCTACTTTCTTCCACACTAGCTCAGCAGGGTAATTTGCCCTGATTGCCATCCTCTTGGGACAAGGAAGTTGTGTGATATGAGTCAAAACTACATGTAAATGAATGGTGTCACACCATATGTATACATGTATGTTGCCCTCAGAACCATGGTGATACCTCTTACATGTCTTCAAATGCAGTACCAGTATATCAACTGACTTTTTATACTGTTCTATCTATTGGTCAGTAAAGATCAGTCTGTGGTTTTCCACTATATATACATGTATCATGTATGTATATATATACATATATACATGTATCTCAACAAAAAGTATTAGCTGATTTCTGTACTGCTCAATGGGTCTGTAGAGACTTAGTCTATCTGTGGTTTTCCACCTGCTGTCTGCACTTGACGAGAATTGAATCTGTATTATAATGCATACCAGTACTCCATGAGTACATACCTGCACTGCAAAGTGACATAGCTAGTATGATAGATTTGCATTACCATAATCAGTGATGCTGCATTTCAAAGAGTGCAATGCTGTTTGTGATATATTCCAAGATTTTTGCTCATAGGTAGTCTGCATATTAGACAACATGAATAATTATTACATACTAAATGAATTCTTTGAATGTTTCTTCACATGTCCTTTGCAAAGACTGTGCACAATTAGCATTTAGTCAAGATTTGAAGTAACTGTAATATGCTTTTTTGTTCACAGGAACATGCTCTTGATTTTGTTTTTGCAGAATTCGGTATTCATTACAGTAATTTGTATGCAATTCATTTTTTTAAGCAGAGCCCCATCTTTATTTGCAATTGATTCAAAATGATCTCAACTCTGTACTGAAGAGAAATGAGTGTAAGTTTGCGATTGATAGGAGGACTAGCGATCAATCCGGATCAATCATAAGTTTTTATAGTACGGCACCAAGATCTTTTCTTTAGTTTCCCAGGGCTTTAGTAGTTTTCTTACATATTATTTTCACTGCTTGGAGATGGGGAGAGAGGAAAATTACGCTTGTTTGTGATGAGCGTAACGGTCTGGTGAAGACGCAATTTTGAGCTTCGGGAAAATATCCCGAGTCTGAAAATAGCGGGTTATTCTGCAACTTCGGTCATATGAAGATATGCCTATTGAAACCTGTTCTTGATGTTCCTTTGTTTCAGACAGATGGTCATTTTGTAAGAGGTCAGCGCCTCAGCTTGGAGTTGAGACACCTACATGAAAATAGCGCTTTACCTATGGTGGCAGGTCAACTTTAAAAGGACATCATTCTTTGACGAGAAAGACAGAAGGCTGATCAGATGAGACAAGTTTCCTTCGGTCATGATAAGTGATAAGGTGGTCAAACAGGTAATACAATCGGGGTCCTCTTGCATATTGTACATATTGTAAATGGCCTGTTGTACTATTGTATCCACGATAACGTTAACTATATATGGTTGTAGAAAATGTATTGCATCAAAACAAAATTGGTAAAGAAGGCTCAAGTCATGATTGTAAATTAGTGAGCACCAAACATATTCATCACATTCTCCCTTCCCTGACATTCTTGTACTGTATAATCTCTTTTGATAGATTGCAGTGAGTGAAACCTGCTCTAGCGACCACCTGTACATAAAGACCACCTGCTTATAAAGAAAACCTGCTTTTCTTGTCTCCAATGAATAGTTTTTGTCTCTCCTGCGTAGCAAAAAGCGAGACATAGGTGCAGTGTTTTCGGGCAACGGCGGCGTCAACAATTTTTAATATGATTTTGAAAGTATAATTTCTTATTCAATGAAACTTGGAATAAAGAGTTATCAAGTATTCCCAATCATGTGATGAGAGAATTTCAGGTCACAATGTCAAGGTCAAAGGTCATTTTAGGTCAACAAACTTAGACTTTGTTGTGGCATCATTATCAAAAACTTTGTACCATGCCTTGACTTTCTAAATAGCCAACAGCTTCTGTTATCATGATGGACCACATCTTCTGATGGACCACATCTTGCAGTGCGGTGGAACGGGTTGCACAGATGAAGACCTGGCCCTTGTTAATGAAACGGCCATTGCAGCAATCGGGCGATGGAAGAACTTAATTTAATTTAATTTACTTTTAATTAAAGAACTTTACATATTAACTATCTTGATCTAAGGAGACACGAACGAACGAATCATCCAAGATGGGGCGTACCACCGTTCTGCGCCTGGTGGACCGCCAGGCTCCCAGTATCCTCCGTAGTCTGTTCTACCTCATCCTGGTGTGTATCCTGGTCCTGGCCGTAGATGTCATGCTGCTTCAGTACAGCAAGAACAGTCGCTCCAACCAGCTCTTCGGTTATGACAATATGGGTATGCCGCAGCGCCGGTCCAGGCCCAGCCTAGGTGAGGGTTCTCGGTTTTGTTCAAATATGAACGTAGGATAATTGAGTGTCGTCACCACGTAGATATTTGATCAGCCTGCTCACTAGTGAAAATTAGTGCATGAAAAGGTCAATAACTTGGACAAAATCCTATGATTATGCTTTGATGTTGGAATGAAGTTCTGTATAAGGGTCAAATCGCTGTGGACAATAACTATGGCCACTTTGTACTGATAATATGGATGATAAAGGATTTTTATTGATTTGCAAAATTTCATCTTCTCCAATGGAAATAAGAAGTGCATGAGTTACTGCAAAAGCATAAAATACCAGTCAAAAAACTGACATTGGTTATGTATTGGTTTCTACAACAGGCTGATTACAGGATAACCATGCAAATATTGTTCCTTGATTTTGTGTATAATAAGAAGAAGATATCATGATTGTACACTTTAAAGATACTATGTCCCTTTTGCAGCCAACATCAAATTCTGTAGAACTTTACAGGAATTATGAATATGTCATGTTTGTCCTATCTGTGAAATTTAAACGTAAGCAGTGTCCTAGTATTCAAATTATGCAAGGAAACCCGTTTACTTTCTAGACTCCACTGTCAGACAGTATTGAGTGAGTGAGTGACTTTTTTCTTTGGCAATAACATACAGAAAATGAGCTGAAAAGGATACATGAGCATTTGTCTACATCAATAACCCACTTGGAATTTTAACCTTGTCATTTTTTTGACCTGCAAATGGGACATAGTACCTTTAAACCAAAGCTACCGACTCAAAGTGTTCATGTACTGTTCATATTGCATCTTATAATTTGTTTTGATTGTTTATTACCATGAAGTTTAATATCGGCATGTGTTATGTGATGCAAGAAGGAAAATTTCACCCTGCAAGCTTATATTTGTTGATCCCCTCGTTCATTTTGCAACATACTCAAAAGAATCCATGACTTGTGTGTTAACTTTTCAGTTTGTATGGCATCTTTTTTGCTTTTTCCCTGCACACAAATTTTGATTTTCAATTCCCTTATAAATTAAAGTTGTAATTTTATTTTCTGATTGATACATATAATTTTAACTTCCAGCAGCCATATTGAGGCTCATTCAGATACGATGCGGCAAAATCGTAGCGTTTTCTTTATTTTTTATCACAATGTAAAGTATAATATGCTTGAGATTTCTGAATCTGAGAACACAAATCTCGGTGAATACATCAAGTCCTTTGTTGCACGCAGCAGCCATTCATTTTACATGTAAACACAATGCTGCAGCTTATTTTGAGCCCGTTTACTGCGCCCTATATGAAAAACCTAAACTCGGCCTTTAGAAATCCACAAATTCATTTGCTTAATGGAGTTGGTTTATTAGGGCTCGTTCTCTCATGAGGTCGTAAACCAATTAGTAAATTCCTGTTTTTGCAAAATGCATCAAGATGTGCATTGACATTCAGCTCATGCAAGTCAATCCAATTCAAGTTTGATTTATTGTCAATAAAACACATGACAAAATCTGAAGTCCAGCCCTCTCAAATGTTCAATAGAGAGCATGGAGATGGGAGTCTCCCTGCATTAAGCATAGATTATGACAGATACATTGTATGTCAACATGTAATAATGGAGGTATTTTGTTAATCAATTATGTCAGCTTTCAGCAAGATTTGAAGGAAAAAAACGAATTCATCATAATTATCTTGGAAAGGAATGACAAATTAGGGAATGCCAGAAAGAAAAAAAGCTAAATGTAATGTATTTGTTTTCATCACATCACACATTGTAGGTCCATAGAAAACAAAATGTAAGTATTCCATTCATTCTGAAAATTTGTGTGACATTTCATTTTTCCATTAGTAGAAACACTTTAATTTTGGGCCCTGTTTCATAAAAACTTGTTATCGATAGCACGTGTCAAAGTTCAATGACAAATTCATGTACAGCCGATCAAATGCAATTTATAGTTCAGTATTTATACTGTTTAAAGGGGAAGTCCACCCTGAAATTAAGTTAGTTTTAATAGGAGTAGAAAAATGAGAGAAACAAGTCAGTGAAAGTTTGAGCAAATTCCGATTAAAAATATGGAAGTTAGGATTTTTGAAGTTGTGATCAATCAAACACAAATTGGCAACTCTATGACGTATCATGCGAGCTCAACTTCCATTTGCTTAGTACTAAAAAAATCTAAAATTTTCATTTTCCCTCAAGAAAAATTTCAACCATACATGCACCCTAAATATAATAATTGCAAATATGTTTCTATACTCCCCCTGCAAGGAACAAATATATATTCTGTCACCAATAACGAAGAAAACATGATTTTATGGAATATTATGCACAAAGCAAATGAAGGAGAGCTCGTATAATAAGTCACAGAGTTGCCAATTTGTATTTGATTGATCACAACTTCAATAATTCATAACTTTCTTATTATTCTGCCTCTATCGAAACACACTTATTTTGGGGGTGGACTTTCCCTTTAATAGTTATCGTAACCTGTTATTGAGAACAAGTTTCATGAAACAGGGTCCTGTTCATCTTTCCTTGTTCTCGCCTTCTTCTCATCAATATTTCTGCCAAGTATTATCAGGATCTTGGACTCTTCTTTTTTCCACTTTGCATAAACAAAAAAGTTCGTATACTAAAGGTGCAATGCAATATTTAGAATGGATGAGAATTTGCAAACAATTTAGACAAATTTTTGCTTTTTTTACTAAGTGTTTATCTCTATTATCCAATATAAATCAAATCTCCAAGTTTCTCTTGCAGAACACTATTTTCTAAGCAAAATAATTTTCCTTGAATATTTTCATTTTGGTTTCCTGATGTTCTTTTTTAATACTTTAAAACAAAAATGAAACTAACAACTTTCAAAATGTTGTATAGTTCCTTTAGTACTCCTACTGATGGATTAAATGCTTCTTGTTTCACTTGGCCAACAACTATTCTGTCAAAACAAACCTTATGGCACTATGATGTTTCAAATTATTAATTATGCCCATATGATCAGTATAACATCAGTGTTTTTTAGAGTTTCAATTCTTTCAAGAGTATGATATTTCATTGCCAGGCTTGCCTAGCATTGCCTCAGTATAGAATTTTTTTAAAAACAAAAATGACACTGTGCATGAGGTATACTGCATATGCAGATTCTGGACCTTTTATTTTCAAAACTGCAGGCATGAAATTTGCTAATGACTGCTTGGCATTTAACAAAAAATATTGACCGGTTTTAGTTATGCTTCGGCCTACAAATTTTTGGTTACTTTTAATACATGCTTTTTAATACTATTGCACCTCAGTGATCCTGAAACGGCAGAGTACAATTTTGACATCACCTAAATACCTTTGTCACTAGTTCTAACCATACCCATCAAACAATCAATATAATATACACTGTTTTTTTTTTTGTATTTCAGATATAAGTTGCCTGTTTTTTTTCTATGCTTGTCATTTTTGGTATTTTATATTTGGGTCGGATGATATTAACAAAGAGCAGAAGACATATTTGTAACCATCTCTCTATATGTTATTTTTTTAAACACTATAATTGGTTACTATGGCTCGCTAATAGTCTTTAAGTTGATTTCCTTTAATACCTAACAAGGATTTGAGAGTGAATGTGTGTGATTTTGTGTATGATTTTATTTCAAAACTAAATTCCTACCTGGCACTAATATTATGGTTTTGTGGGCTCTTCCACTAATTTTAATCTTCTGTTTTTTCTTTACTAATTTCGGGTCATGCAAAATATTATTTTGTAATGAATTCCCTTTGCCCTTGCTTCCGAGGTGTATTAATTTTGGAGTCAAACCCTTTTATTCTTATAGTACTAAGGACTATATTTCTTTTAGACCAAGAATTGACTGCTTATTAGTACTCCCCTTGCAAGGTCAGTAATTTTGGTCAGTAATTTTGGCTAGTAAATATACATACATTTGTAAATTCTGAAACAGTCTCTCCCCCCCCCTTTTTAGACTACAGGCATTTGTGTAGCTCAACTATGTTATTTAAAAGTCAGCAATTTCATTTAGGTGTACATGTACATCATTATTCATAGAACACTATTTTTGTCTCGCCTGCATAGCAAAAGTGAGACATAGGCGCTGCTTTTCCGCTGTCGTCAACAATAGGTTAAGTTTTTAATTTTTTTTATATAATTTTGAAAATATACATTCCTGTTCCATGAAACTTGATTATAGGGGTTATCAAGTATCATCAATCATGTGATTAGTCTTTTTAATAGGTGAAAAGTCAAGGTCAAATGTCATTTCAGGTCTGCAAACTTAGACTTTGTTGTGGCATCAATATCAAGATTTTGAATTTTTTAGCATAATTTTAAAAGTGTTTTTTCAAATTCCATGAAACTTGTACCCAAGGGTTATCAAGGATCACAAATCATATGACACAAATTTCAGGTCACAAAGTCAAGGTCAAAGGTCATTTTAGGTCAGTAGACTTGGAATTGGTTTCACAATTTGATATGAGAATGAATAAATCAATTTTTGTTATTTGTTCATATTTCATTAAAGTTATCAATCTTGATACAAATAATAGTAACTAATTCTTTTGATGATTCTTAGTCAATATTCACTTCAAAATGTTGATTTTATTCAGAGGATTTCATTGGGGGGGGGGGGACTGCTATAAATGGGCCGCCCTGCCTATAAATAATGTCCCAACCTCAATTTACGCAATCGAATTGCGTAATGCGAATTGATAGGAATGTGAATTGATAGGCAAAAGGATAGGTTGACCCATGCTGATATATATTCTCCTTGTTGGCATTTATACATAAAATATGTTTTTAATATCCTCAGTTTGTAACTAAAACTTATTGAATAAAAGTGTAATTATATACTGGGGGGGGGGGGGGTAGAGATATGGGCAAAACGTTTTTGGATAACAATTATTCCTAATGTGAAGTTGAAAATCTCTGACATTTTTGTAATGATGTCCATATTAGTGAAGATACCAGTAGGTAGTCAAATATGACTTCCAAAAAAACAACGTTTATGGAGTTTGAGGATTGATTGTTATCTAGATCTCTTGGATTTTTCTCTCTTTCCAACAATTCTAGATTCAGAAGAAGACTCTCGGTCAATGAGACGACCCATGAGACATAAAGTCAAGCCCGACCCTAGAGGACCTCTTCCGTCTCTAGCTGTCCCGATCAATAGGTAAGTTCTTTCCATTCACTCAAGAAAGTGTTAGATTATCATATGGAAATTCAGGAGTGTGTATTTTTCAATATTGAAGGAGATTGGTGTAAAGTTATGTTTGCAGTTATGAATATTTTCAATCACCATCAACTTTTTATCAGGTTATTCCAATTTACACTTGCCCAAGATAACAAAATGAAAAGGATGCTTAAACTTTTTTTTGAAATGAAATGAAATGATTTTGTTCCCTTTCTACTCTCATGACAGAGCATACTTTGAGTCTTCAAACGTAACGTGCCGGAAAGGTTATGCTAGAACGAGATTGCAGAATCTTTATGGAGATCGGTGAGTTAAACATTTAAAATGTTTGTGGACATCTAGGCCCAAATTCACAAAGGAGGTTTGTCGACAAACCTTGGTTTTCGTACGTCATATGACACGTTTTTAGGCGTTTTTTACAAACCTCCTTTGTGAATTCTGGCCCTAATGTCAAAATCTTACAGGGGGCATTGTAGTACATGTAATATACAGTGTGTCCCAGAAGAAACGAAACCAAGAATAATCAATGTTTTATCATAACTTAATCATAATTATGATTAATAAATGACACATATTCGTAAAGCTTAGATCCTCCTCTTTCATTTGATGCAACTCATATGATGCATATTTCATGCATGAGTAACAAAGTTCTGTATGTTTCAAGTAATGCTTGCATTTCCATAATTTTATTAAACGAATCTGTTCCACTGGCTGTCTGCCCTAACAACGAAGAAGATGAAATATTTCATGCATGGCTGATCTTCAACGAAACAGAGTTTGTTGTTTGTTGCTATGGCAGGCAGCCAGTGAAAATTAATTTGTTTAATAAAATCATGGAAATGCAAGCATTACTATGTTATTCCTGGCTCGTTTTTGCTGATTGAGGTGTCATACGAAAGGGCAGAAAATGAACTTTCTTGAAATATGATTTTCTCTTTGAAATTCAGATACTGTTCGCCAAATGACTTTTTGGTACCCTTTCTTCAAATTGTTTTTAAACACTCATGCATGAAATGATGACATAAATGGTACCCTGGGGTACCAAAAAAAATTCGGCCATTTTGTTGAATTATTTTTTTTTTTTTTAAGGCTGTACCCTGGGTTACCAAAAAGTGGGAAATTATTTTTGTGTGATTTTTTCAACCTTCAATTGTGTCCAATGTTCTTGTAAAAAATCCTTTAAGTCCTGTATTTCTAAAATTCATTGTTGTTATGAGTAATTATTCTATTATTGATATCATTTCATGCTGTTATGATACACCCTGTATTATTATTGTGGTATAATTAAAATTATTAATTATAAATGAAAGTTCTATTTTGTGTTATGATGCTATCTGTGTACAGCAGTCATGATAATCTCATGTGTTGTGAATAAACAAATTTTCCAATTGAATAATAAAAATGAAAATCACATTATGAAGTGGTATTATCTTTCGATAGCCACCGTAGTGCGCTTGTGATCGTGAGCGAGCGCTATAGCGCGAGCAGTGCATGCATGCACACCATGCATAGTATACACCATAGAGATACCACGGAACTATGTACACGCACTCCATACATTGTACTCGAGTGGACGCGAGATGGCGCTACACAACGCGGTACCCCGGGGTACTACGGTACCCCGGGGTAACGCGTGGTGCATCAAATATGCATCATATAGGTTGCATCAAATGAAAGAGGAGGGTCTAAGCTTTACAAATATGTGTCATTTATTAATTATCATTGTGATCAAGTTAGTGTATGATAAAACATCGACAATTCTCGGTTTTTTCTGGGACGCACTCAACTCTGTGTCATGCAAGGCTGATGCAAAGCTTGTTGAGACTTGAGAAAAAGGTGTATACAGAGTTTTCAATACTTGAGACATTTTAGGAATTCAAAGACGTATGATTAGTATTTTCTATTTGTATTTTTCATTTCTTTTTTCTTTTCTTTTAGATTTGATCCAGATATACCTCTATTTGTAGATTCTAGCTTCCTTGATAGACCCAATGCAGTAAATCTACCCATGCCATTTGGCTTCAGAGATGCAGGTAATGATCATCTTCAGTAGGACCCCTGGGGCCCGTTTCACAAAGCCTTTTTTCAATGACAAATGACAGTTTTTGTTATAAGCTACTGAAACCCTTGCTTCTGATTGGTTATCAGCAGATTTGTCACTGATTTTTGTCATTTGTAATTGAAAAAAGGCTTTGTGAAACGGGTCCCTGGTTTGTGTGTTTGTCTATACTTGTGTGTGACCCCCTCTCTATACCTCTATCTGTTCTCTTTCTTCATCCACCCCCCCCCCACACACCCCCATTTTAAATTTGTAGTTATTATGATGATGATGACGATGATGAAATAATGCTACGATCTTTTTCCTGCAGCAGAAACATGTTGAAGCCTAATTTAGCAATGAAATATGCAATTGAAGCTTAAATTTAAACTTAAGTAAATCACTTTTGACAATAAAAAAAGAAATTGGCAGCACAGGAGGGATTAATGTCTTTCTTTTCTTGTTATCTGTGCACAGAAAGGACAGTACTGAATATTCTGAAACATATGCCTCAAACTGAAATTCCAGAAGATATACCTCAGTAAGTACACGAAAATCATACATTTTATACATGTTAAGCACTTTCTTTGTAGGAACTAAAAGGAAGATCAAATCATGCCATTAAATGCATTTATTTATACGCCTGGTTTATAAGACTTGTTGAATGTGGTTGCACGAAAATCATACATTATACATAGTAAGCACTTTCTTTCTAGGAACTATATGAAAGATCAAATCATGCCATTAAATGCATTGATTTATACGCCTGGGCCTGTATTCGATTTAATACTTAGCATAAGTAAGAAATTTACTAAGTAAATGGCTAAGTTTAGTAATTGACTTATCTCGTATTCTAATCGCATTTTAGACTTATATATTTTAGACTTATAAGACAAAATCTAAGTAAAATACTTACTGATAAGCATTGTGACGTCACACAGTCAATCAAAAGTAATGCGCAATTGATGCGTCGCAATAAATGCGCGTTGATATACTTGTGCGCAGGATATAATACTGCGTAAGAAAACCATATGCCTGCCAATCAAGGCCACCAAATAATTGGCTTAAGTCTGGTATGGAGTTGGCTTAGCCAAAAGTGTGAATTGAATACCATAAATGGCTAAGTATTTTATCTAAGCCAAATACTTAGTAAAAAGCTTTAATTTTGTACTTAAGTATTGAATTTAATACGGGCCCATGTTTATAAGACTGGTTGCATGTGGTGCTTCGTCACCCTCAATGTTCTGCCTATACAAGTCACTCATGTTATCTATTCTTGATTATGGTGTACCTGCATGGCATCCTACAACTTCTGCACAGGATTAACAAAGTTGAACGTGTTCAGAGAAAGAACAGCCACTAGTCTTGCCCTCAAACAGCGTCGTGGGGAGATGTAATATGAGGAACGGCTCTGAACACTTTCTTAGTCTTCTCTTGCTTCTTGCCGAAATTACCTTCTCTGTTCATTTGCATTTAAGTGTCTTTCATGGAATTTGTAACTGTGAGACACTAAGTGCAAGTATCCATCTCAATCCTCACCATCCTCATACCCTTTTGTTTCGTCATCTTCCCTCTAGGACTCAGGCTTTTTTGTTTTTCCCGTCTTGGAACCTTCCCGGACTTTTGAACACTCTGCCTCTATTTGAAATTTATCAAAATTTACCGGGAGCACCGGTAAATTTTTATATTCAATTTTTCTCGAAAGCAGAAGTGTTTGAGGGGCTAAATTTTCTAGTGTTTATAATACATCCACAGGGGCATCCAAATATATCAAAATTGTAAAGAATCACTATCCACCCAATTTTCAAAATTTCCCAAAACTTTGTATTACCTTTAATAATGTGCAGCTTGTCATTTGGCCATAATCTTGCTAATTGGTATTGATTTAACATGTTCATTTCACATTGACTCATGTTTACCTGTCATAGATTATGCCGGTGTTTATAGTTCACGATATCAAGACGTTGTCATGAAATTATTGATATCCTGTGTTTAATGAATATCTCTATATCAGCCATGGTCTGGGATACTAGCACCTGTGTCAGTTAAAGTAGTCTCAATATTTCCATAAAAATGTGTTTTATTGAATGGAAAATTAACATTTTGCTAGACTAAGCTTACACAGAATATAACTGTATGTGCATGTGTAAGAGTTGAAATTTGAATGCTAACGTAATAACTACATAATATGTGCATTGGTGTTGTAACATCACAGATATTTCCATTGCCGTTTAACCGCTAGTCAAAACTGGATGGTTTTCGGTTAAATGATTTAATTAACTTATTAAACGATTTTATTTTTTTAATAATTTTTAAATAAATGGCATCAGTAAAGTATTGTGCATGTATTTCAAGGCTGGGAACTTAGTTTTACAAGTCAACTTCTCAATCTAATAATGATAATAATAATAATAATAATAATCTTGCAATTGATTGTTATCGTGTAGATTGTTGCTCTGCAATTCAACATTCAATAGTCAGCGCTGACTTATGATGACTATAATGTTGGCAAAACTTGATTTATTAGCTTCATGAACAAAGTGAAACCCATTCATTATTCCAAAGCATGCCTGACAGTAAAGTCTCTGTTTTTGTTCAGTGATTTTGTTTCTAATTATGTACACTTTGGATTTTCCAATAAAAACAATTACCGGTAAAAAAAAAAATTAAAAAAAACAACAAAAAACTGCAAAAAGAAACCGGCCAATAAAAAACGGATAGTGCCATGGACGGTCGGAAACCGGACGGTTAAACATTTGACCACAGCACTAATGTGTATAATTTAGCATGATTAGCCATGAAGATGGGATCTCAATTACTGGGTTCTGTGGAGATATAAACAAGAAGCTTTGGGGTGTGATAAGTATCTGTATAAAGATTGGTGCATATACATTTATCCAATGTGTAACTGAATCTTTAAAAAAAATATGGGCCTAAGGAACCTGACTATGATTGCAGACTTGCCCTTTAAAGTAACCCAATATTTGTTTGGTTTTCTTTGTTCAGAGATTCATGTCTTCGTTGTGTAGTGCAGGGAAACGGTGGCATCGCCTCCAGAACAAGGCTAGGGGAGGTCATTGATAACTTTGATGTGGTCTTCAGGTGAGTTGACTCTTTTAAACCTCCTTGAGATATGACACCAAGAGAACCATGCACCTCCCCCAATCAATCAATCAATCAATCAAGAAATACAGAAATAAAGAAATTTATTAAATTCATAAACATACACAAACGCCACGTGTCAAAAGTTATATAAGCATCGCAAGATGCCTATGGCATGTGCCACTCCTTTTTCAAATAAAATTACTATTTAACAAATAATTGTTTTTATTTTAAATTTATTTTTTAGTAGGTCAAAGAAGAACTTGTGAAATAGTTAAGTTCTATAAGAATTTCTGCTCATTACTGCCCATTAGTACTTACATGTCTAGCATGTTTTATACCAATATTTTTAGGCAATTGTCATTTTTTCACAGTTTTAAACATTTAGTGTAAGTTTGTTTGATTGTCATTTCCAGAATTCAAGATCAAAGATTCAAGATAAAAGTGAGAACTGGTGATTAGTACTTTGTGTGGAAAAAACACCTGTTTGGAAGTAATTAGGAAAGGTTGATTATATAGAATAGATGTATACCGTGAGGTTTTGGAGAGATTAAAACAACAAAAAAGTTATATCACCCTTGCTGAAAATCACATGCTCTATGAACATGTGGCATGAAAGTCTGGTCTGAATTGGTCAGCTAGTCCTCATCATATTTTGAATGCAATGGCATTTAAACAAAAAAATGATTTTCAGGGGATATTTCTACCATGATATTCTTCCCAAGTGACATAAAAAGAATGAAAAGCTTACAAATTTTTTGTGATTTGTATTTTGTACTAGAATTCAACTTTCACTCTTACCTGAACTCATCTACCCCCACCCCCCAGGTTAAACTCTGCTCCTACCATCAATCATGAGAATGACGTTGGACGTAAAACTACCTTCCGGATGGCCTACCCGGAGAGTGCGTTCAGGCGTCCAGAGCAGTATGATCCTGGCTGGACGTTTGTCCTTATGATGTTCAAACCACTGGATCTTGTTTGGCTAGAAACGATTATTAGAGGACGTAAGATGGTATGATGATTGATGAAGCCCTTTTCACATCACTTTGCTGTCTATGTTGTTTCTTCTTCTTCATCTTCTTCTTCTTCTTCCTCTTCCTCTTCCTCTTCCTCATCTTCTTCTTCTTCCTCATCTTCTTCTTCTTCTTCTTCTTCTTCTTCTTCTTCTTCTTCTTCTTCTTCTTCTTCTTCTTCTTCTTCTTCTTCTTCTTCTTCTTCTTCTTCTTCTTCCTCTTCCTCATCCTCATCCTCATCCTCATCCTCATCCTCTTCTTCTGCTTCTTCTTCTTCTTTTTCTTCCTCTTCCTCTTCCTCTTCCTCATCTTCTTCTTCTTCTTCTTCATCTTCTTCTTCTTCTTCCTCTTCCTCTTCCTCTTCCTCATCTTCTTCTTCTTCATCTTCTTCTTCTTCTTCCTCTTCCTCTTCCTCTTCCTCATCTTCTTCTTCTTCCTCATCTTCTTCTTCTTCTTCTTCTTCTTCTTCTTCTTCTTCTTCTTCTTCTTCTTCTTCTTGTTCTTCCTCTTCCTCTTCCTCATCCTCATCCTCATCCTCATCCTCATCCTCATCCTCATCCTCTTCTTCTTCTTCTTTATCTTCTTCTTCTTCCTCTTACTCTTCCTCTTCTTCTTCCTCTTACTCATCTTGCGTGCTTGGATTACCTCTGGAGCAAGCGTCGAGACATCGTCCTTTACTGTCAACCATGTGTTAAACATTCCCTTGAATTATTATAAATTTCTTCAATTTACACTGGATGGCGACAAGATCTTCCCTGTTAGACTATTTGCATGTGGAATCAAACTCGTCAAGCATCTTGTAAACCCGAACAACGGTACCTGGCTCCGAGCAGACGAGGTCGTCATTGCCTCCACTTTGCAGCGTCCGTCTTTACGCCTTTTGGAACTTGACCTCTCTCGACTTCACAAAGAGATTTCCGGTTTGTTTCCTAGATTCTTTTCGAACAGCGGACTAAGACTGTCAGCAGCTTCAGCTTATCTTCATAATCTGACTGAACCTGTTACCTCTCCGTTCTCGATCATAACTAAAGACAACAAGAACATTCTTGCCACGCCGACTAAATCGATATATCGAATCTTCAACCGTGCTATTAACTTTCTTCCTAGAGCTCAAGTTACTCATTGGCACGAGGCTGGGTTACTTTCCCCTTCTAAACTAATCAACTGGACTGAAATCTACTGCTATCCATCATCTAAGAAAGATGGGGACACTCAGTACAAACTATTACACAATGTTCTTCCGTCGCTTGCCGTTCTTCATCATCTTAATCCCGATATCTCCTCTTCATGTGGATGGTGTGGCAAGAAGGGAACTATTCTACACCTCTTTATCGAGTGTACTTCTATACAACCGGCCTTGGATCTTCTTCATCATCTTCTGTCAAGTCTTCTACCCGAAGTAAACATTGACTTTGACCTCTACTGGACTCTGGTTCCACATGCAGGAGGTCGTAACAGGGAGGCCGTGCGCCTATCCAACTTTTTTATTGTCATTCTTAAAAGCACATTATATTGGCTTTATCGTACCTCTCGTTTTCTTGATCCACTTCCTTTTTGGAAACTTAGAATCAAGAACAGAGTCATTCTTGATTATGAATTTCACAAATTACAAAACAATTTGGTGTTATTTCATAAGATATGGTCGTACAATAATGTACTCTTTCTTTCAGATGATATTGATCTCACATGGTTGATTTAATTGTTGTTTGTGATAAGTTTGTCTTGAGAAGAAGCTCATAGTTGGAAGTTATGAATTCTCATAATTTAATCGTTTTGAAACACTCTATGGATGTGTAATCATTTGTAATCAGTGTTTAGTACAATTTATGTTTTTTCTCAATTTCTACCGTCGAAATTATTGTTTTTTTATGAATTGTTTAATGGTTACTTTCTCATGTATTACGTACTACTTGTTGTTGATTATTGGTATATGATTCACAAACACTTATTATATTAAGTGCATCACTGTTATCTTTTTTATTTGTTTTAATTATTATATGTATTGTAAATAAAGTTTTACTTTCAAAAGTCAAAAAGTCTTCTTCTTCCTCTTCTTCTTCTTCTCCTTCTCCTTATCCTCCTCCTCCTCCTCTTCTTCATTGTCTTCTTCTTCTCTTTTTTCCCATTGCTTTGTCATTCCTTAGCATATTTACACCCAATGCGTTACAAATATTGGACTGAGCATCAAAATATCTTGTACATATACCTTTTGTATAGGAGTAGAAAAATGAGATGACATGTTCAACCCACTTTCCTAATTGCTAGCTTTAATGCTCATTCACATATGCTTTGCTAAACCATAGCAGTTTTTTTTAAATGTGTGTCTACTAAATACCTGGCAATTGTGGATAAAAAGCAATTGTAGCTGCGCACAACAAAGATCCTGTGATATACACTTGTTTGTGTGATAAAAGATACAAAAAGCGTAGAAATCTTGTCATCTTATCACAACCAACGCTAACAAGGCTTTATGTGGTATTATCTTTAATCATGCAGAATAGCCGTGACGGGTTCTGGAAGAAGATACCTCTGAGCGTTCCCAAGCCAACCAAAGACTTCCGCATCTTCAATCCAGAGATTCTTCAAGATACAGCGAGCATGATGGGATACCAGCTCAACGACGGCAAGGCAAATAAGGTAATTGATGGTTCTTAGAAAGAGGGAGAAGAGAGAGAAGAAGGAAGAGGAAGAGGTGGATGAGAAGAACGAAAGAGTGTTTTGTTTTAAGTCTCTAATAATATTGGATATTTATATAGTGCACATATGCACCCTGTAAAGTGCTCAAGGCACTCAGTGGAGCAGAGTAGGATATGATAAGGGGATGGATAAAGAGAGAGAATGGAAATGGATGAAAGATTGATGAGAGACGAGAGAGGGTGAGAGACAGACAGAGAGAGAGAAAGAGGAGGAAACACAGGGTATAAGAGAGGGGGTGAGAGACAGACAGAGAGAGAGAGAGAGAGAGAAAGAGGAAGAGACACAGGGTATAAGAGAGGAGGTGAGATACAGACAAAGAGAGAGAAAGAGGAGGAAACACAGGGTATAAGAGAGGGGGTGAGAGACAGACAGAGAGAGAGAGAGAAAGAGAAACACAGGGTATAAGAGAGGGGGTGAGAGACAGACAGAGAGAGAGAGAGAGAGAGAGAAAGAGGAAGAGACACAGGGTATAAGAGAGGAGGTGAGATACAGACAGAGAGAGGGAAAGAGGAGGAAACACAGGGTATAAGAGAGAGGGTGAGAGAAAGTACATGTGGGAGAGAGAGAGAGGAGAGTGAAAGAACAAGGAAAGAGCCAGACTGTAAAGGAAGGAGAGAAAGTGAAAGGGGTATAGAGAGATGTACATGAAAGTGACTAGATGAGGGAGATCAACCAAAGGTTGATAAGAAAGACTTGATAATAAGACTTTATATCTATGTAACATGATGGTAGAATATTCACACACGCATGTAAGTGATTGTGATGCCACACTCTCTTCTAGAGTACATACTTCAAGCATTGTGTAATTTGCCTCTGATTCTAAACAAAATCCTGGCTTTAGCTCATGCTGGAATCATAATTATAAACCTTTAGGTCAATCAGGAATCCCATGACTATTAAAAGCCGATCGCCTGTAGGATTATCAAGTTATTTATGATTGAAATTCGAAATTTCTAAAACCGTTTTCCCAATGGTCTTTATAACACTACAACCTATAGGGGAAAATGAGTATGGTAGAACCGGTCACTTAAAGATTTTTTACTTTTGTGAGGCACTTCATGATCATTTTGAAGCGCATATTTTTTAGGGCTTCAAATATTACACCATATCACAGACACTAATAACACGTAGAGCCATGCATCTCAATTGGAAACATTGTTAAAAAATGCATTGAAAGAGAAGGTTGAGTTCTGGGAAGAGGTGAAAAATAATTTGTGAGCGTTATCATTCTTATTATGCAAGTGTTGAAGAACATCAGATAAGACATGTTCCCTGAAAAGCATGGCTCTTCAAATGCCATCATATTCTAAATATGTCATGTAACATCATAAAACTCCAGGGTAGGATTTTTACGCCACATGTTCGTGTAGTCCCATATACACCTTTCTGTGTACAGTGTTTGTAACTTTACCAAGACTTGGCCAAATTTCTTATCATTTTGATGATTCCAGAACCTTGCAATACACACAAATTCTTATATGCTAGATGATCAACCTTTTCTGGTCTACACTGTATTCCACACCGTTTCTTTCACAATGCAATCGCATGACCAGAACTCAACTTCATCTTGTTTATTTACAAACTCTCCTTATTTCCATCTCCACACAGAACATCCCAACGAGTGGAATGCTAGCCATCATGATGGGGGTGCGACTCTGTGACGAGGTGGCTGTGGCAGGATTCGGCTACGACCCCAACAAGCCTGGTGCTGCCCTCCACTACTATGATTCCCTACCCATGAGGGAGATATGGAAGTCTTGGACCCATGATATACATCATGAAAGGGGCATACTCAGGTTACTCAAGCAGCAGGGGATCATCACAGATTTGAGTGGTGGAATCCGGTAACACCAAGCCCACGCGATCGGGTAGTCTTCGTAGAGGGGCAGACTGGGACAAAAATTCACCTGGGTATTATCGTGGGACTAGTCCACTCAACTAGCATCCAACCACCCCTCAAACCATAAGTTGGCTAGCCCTCTAGCAACAATACTTACCAGCCCTTTTGGGCGACTCCCAGATCTTTGGACTACCAGTCTACCACTACCTGTACGATGTCTTTGTATAGTCATGTGCCAAAGTTACTTTTAAACTTATTGTATATATAATGCTTTCCAAATTGCGAACAAAGGTGTTGTTTTTTGTTCTTCATCTTTTTCAGTCAAAATTTTCTTGTTCAGTTGGTTTCCCAATTATTCAGTGGTTAAGAAAGTAAAAGAAGATAAAAGAAGAATTAAATTTAAATCTGGTTCAGTGGCAGTTCCAAAATATTGAAAGAGAGAGGTACTCATCGTAAGTGGACTCATATTGTACTTATGTGCTTTAGGAAGTTGGTAAGAAATATAAAATTGGACGTGCGTCCCTGTTCCACCTCTGGGTTTGGCGCTAAAAGAAAATCTGTGATCAGTCCCTCTGATGCAAGTTATACCTGAGAATCTATTTGCTTACCAATAATATAATCAGTAGCTTCCTTAGCACTACTTCAAAATCCCTTCTAGCACCATTTCAGGTCAGCTGTAACAGTATTTTAAATATATCAACTTAGAAGAAACTCACAAATATACAAAATAGATAAACAAGAAACAAAGACAACAATTGTACAAATGTATGTACTGGTATGTTAAAGCTTATCTTGAGCTCTGGTACGGGAATCCTATGTCAAGAGAACATGGCTTTATTTCATTCTGGATTGTTTATCCTGCAGTGGATTGATTGTTATAACCAGTAAAATAAAAACAATCTCTAAAAAAACTTGCTGGAGTCATCTTCAATAAAAACCACAACTCTCATTTGCTCATAGTGACCTGTGTTAAGCACATGGTGTCGGGCCTACTTACCTTGATTTCCATGCTCATTACTCGGCCCCTATACATTTTCTACCAAAACCGTTTGGCACAGGTCATTTATTTGTTATCTTGTTCGGTGTAAGTTTTGTTGGATTTTGTGAGAATTTATTTTCTATCATTACCGGTATCGTTTCTCTTCTCCTTCCAAATTCCATGTCACTTCCAATAGTAACCATGTTAACAAGTGTGACTTTTTGTTTTAAGCCCACTGTACTACTTGGAGCTACTTGCTCCCTCTATATAGAACACAATGCCTAAGCAGTGCACGTTGGTCCCCATGATCCTCTTTTTCTTATGTTAATTGAGAGCTGAGTTGATGAGATACCCACCTGTCAGTGACCTTGCTGGGTGGTATAATCCCCCTGGCTAAACTAGTACAGACAGGAATTAAAGAACAAAGGTGCCTGTCAAGTTTCCCCAAATTACATCATTATTGTTGAGGAGTTAAACAGAGCTCTTGGTCAGAAATGAATAAACTTTTGTCAAATCTACATTGAATTTATATGGTTTTATTGCAGGAGATTTGTTAAAAAATATTCACAATGTACTCATCTACAGGTGCAAGTTATTGGTGCTCTCAAACCACAAATGCCAACTCACCAATATAATTATTTCTTAGTTAGAGATGAATTGATAAGTGTGATACATGTATCCTGTTTGGAGAGTAGGCCAAAACTAATTTGGCTCAATGCTTTGAAATGCTATATATTGCCTATTTGGAGCCAAAGTGGCGTTGATTCTGTATTCAGGTTTATGAGTTGAAGGTAAAGACCAGTTATGGTCATGCGATTGCATTGTGAAAGAAACGTTGTGAAATCGATCAGAAAAGGTTGATCATCTAGCATCTGCAAGGTTCTGGAATCATCAAAATGATAAGAAATTTGGCCCATTCTTCGTAAAGTTACAAGCACTATACACAGAAAGATGTATATGGGACTACCCTATATCTCTCACAGACCATGAGAGAAACAAATTTACCAAATATATGAATTAGTAGGCGGTTTCCCGGCAAATTTTGTATCATCATGTATTAGTCAAAACATATTCTTTCACATGATTGGTAATAAGAGCTTCCATTTCATTTTTTGAAATTGGGGCGTTTCCAATACTGGTCTTTACCTTTAATGTCCTTCTGGCTCCGATCATACATTATGTTGTTAGAATTTCAGTGAGGTGTGGGCCATTATAATAGAGGTTGATTGAAGGAGAATAACTTGCAATGATATCAAATATTCTTAACAAGTCAATGAGAATATATAAAATGATGAATCAATAATATTTTTTTTTAAATAATAATATTTTTGTTAAAAGCCAAAGAACTGTATCTATATATTTTGTTGAGAGAATTGCAATGGTGGTATCAATGGATGTTAATAGTGTTATGATATTATGAGGATTCCTTTTGTATATTTGCAAATGTGATTCTAAAAAGCTGTATATAAATCTTCCTATTGTGTCGATCTCTGCATTTCATTCTCTTCATACAATGGATGCATCAATTCATTGCAGACGTGTTATAGTATTTACCTAACTACAAGTATCTCAACTTGCTTTGATTTGCTTTATGTGATTTGCCTTGATTATTCTCCATTGTTGATTTGTAACTCATCAAAGATTTGTGAGAGTTTCATGCTGTGAAATATTGGAATCACAACTGACACTACATTGAAATTTTGCAATTCACAAGAAGTTTCTTGCTGTTAAAATCAAGGTAGTTTACAAATTCATGAAAGTTTCTGGTTTTACAATGTGATGACATTATGGGATGATAGCCACGTGGCGCTTTGAATCGTGGAGGCTATTTCGATTAAATGAATTTATTTGTCCGAGTTTCGCTCACAAGTAAAATACGGGCTCAGACATAGTTTACAAAGAACAGAAATGGGATACAAAACATAAATACATTTTGGTAATGCCCAAATAATAATTATACATAGTATTGATTATTCATTTGGTTATGGCTCGTTTTATTTACTTAAAATTCATTGTTTAGCTATCTTTACGCATATTTATATATACAAATTATTAACCACTTTACAGTTTACACATATACATTTTGGCGTTTAAACTGAATTGAAGTATGTCGGAATATATATGATAAACGAGAAAATAAAGATACCAAATTTGATGGGTAAGTGGTGACCCTGTTAATGATTATTAAAAACTTTCTTAGATAACCTTTCTATAATTGTCCATGTAACTTATTTCCATAATATTAAGAATAGATAACTTGTTTCTCAAGTAAAACATGGCTTCCACTCCTTGTTTCTCAGTTAATCAATGGCATAAAGTCAAGCAAAGTAGACGATCTGGAACTGCTCTGAAAATAGTGAAATTAAATTAACTGTATTTGTTTCCCAAGTAAAAAAACAAATTTCACTATTGGTTTATAGCAAGAGAAAAACATTTCTGTCTTGGTTGATCACTGGCATAAAGTCAGGCCAGGTAGACGAGTTGAAACTGTTCTGAGATGTTTCAGGAACTGTTTGTCTTTACCTGGCAAATTAGATTCATATACTTGGAAAAATGTTGTATGCTGATAAAACTGAAGTATTATGCAAGCCTGTTGCTATTTATTATAATAGGCTGGTCTTCATTAAGGTATATCGTGCTAGAAAATTTTGATTGCTTTTTTTGTTTTTAAATTTTGATATCACCATAATTATATTCAAATACAGTTGTACATGTGTTATATATGATGTTATGCCAAATCAGCCCTTTTGTAAGGACAAATACACTAAGTTTCACGGACTAGGCTATGATTTTTTTTACATGTAGTGCAATAAATATCAATTATTTCTCATCCTTAGCCAAGCGACAAAACAACTCAGCCATATTTGATTTTGATTTTAATAAATTTATGCAAATATTTTTCCAAATAATTGTATCAAATGTTATATTTGTCTTTGTATGCAGTTTTTTTTTTTTTTTTGGGGGGGGGGGGGGTGATTGTGTTATTCATGTTGGATATACAGAGTTGATGAGAGCACATATAAACTATACCCCTATAAAACTCATTTTGTTTCCTCACACTGCTTCCACTCTTTAGTATAACTTCATGATAGTCTGCATGCATAGCCTTTTGAAAATTACTAGAAGAAGAATAAGAGAGGCCGGGCCGCCCATCACTCGCTTTCACGTTTCATTCATTTATTAGAGAAAGAAGACGATTCATTGTCTCGTGTCCTTGTCTAAAGTCAGTTCCCCCCCCCCCCCTCGCGCGGAATCTTTGACGTTTTATTAAATTATTAGAGAAAGAAGACTATTTGTTGTACCGTTCTCTACTCTTATCCTTGTCTGAATTCAGTTTCCCCACTGGTAACGTTGCCATATCTGGCATTATTATGCTTTCAGGCATAATTTTGACCCTTTTTAGCATTTGGCATAATGCCTGGCATATTTTGGCTGTATTTAGCAAAATTCTGGCATAATTTGAGCTTTTTTAAAGCATAATTTTAATATATTTTTCAACATATTTCCGAAAAAATTGGACAAAAAAATAAATGCTTCTTACCATCACTTGTATGGAATGGAAAATAAGTCATGGTTATTTATTTTTTTTGTGGGTGGGGGGGGGGATAGCGCCCCAAGCACCCCCCCCCCCACCAGTACACCAGTGAGCACTATTATAATGTACCTCAAAAGCATAACAAGCATGTTTGGAGAGGAATTATTTCTTCAGTTTGTCTGTGGGCTAAGGCACTCTTTGGCGTATACAAATGGAACTTAGAAGAATCTCTGGTTGGGTAGTTATGAATGTCTCTATTTAGATCAAATCGTTACAAAATGATAAAGGCAGTTCTCTCTTTTTATTAAGTCGGTACATGAACGCTGCAATTTGCATGAAATGAATCTCCGTAACTTTTAACATGAGGGCCCTGCAATTAACCTGTTAGTTCCGGTTGACAAATTGAATTCTAATTCACATAGGCTTTATACAGGGACCATTCGGTTCCCGTAAGCAATGTGTTAATACCCACAGCATTGCCAGATACGCATTTAATACAACTGGGTCAAGAGGGATAACTATGGATAAATAACCTTGTCAAAGGATGAATGAGCAATGATTAAGGTCCGAATCCAGGACCTTTCATATGAGGACCTAGAGCCTTGACTAATATACCACAGTCCTCACCAATGAAACAGGGAGGGAAATAAGGAGTGAACGGTAGAAGGAGGTAACAAGAAAGTGAATGATATAAAATCGCATGTCTTCAGTTTGTTATGACTGACTGTATATAAGTGGGAAATAGAGGAGTGAGAGAAAGGGGGGAAAAAAGGTGAAGAGAGAAGGATATGTTAATAGAGAGCAGTAGAGTATAATTGCTCCTAAACATCATGTCTACAATTTCAATTCAAACATATATATATATAGACAACAAAGTCACAAAGAAATACAAATACATTGAATTTAGCTCAAATTGTTGATTTTCTTCTTCTCTCATTACCAAGTAATTACTTCTTTTTGTGCATCTTGTTGTCATTTGCCCCCCCTCCTATCACACCCTTTTATTCTCTCTATATTTCTTTCCATCTCTCTCTATCTCTCTCCTCTTTCTCCTTTCTCCCTCCCGATCTGTCTCTCCCCTCTCTCTCCTCTTTCTATCCCAATCTGTCTGCCCCTCTCTATTGCTCTCTCCCAATGTCCCGTTCTCTCTCTCCTCTTTCTCGTTTCTTTCTCCCAATCTGTTTTCCCCCTCTATCTCTCCTCTTTCAACGTTTCTCTCTCTCCCAATCTGTCTCTCCCCTCTCTCCTTTCTCTCTCTCTCTCTCTCTCTCTCTCTCTCTCCTGTCCTTCCTCCCTACCCATTCTTTCTGTACTATGTGTATTCGAAATTCGAAAGAGAGAGAGAGAGAGAGAGAGAGAGAGAGAGACAGAGACAGAGGGAGAGAGTTGGGGGAGGGGGGGGGGGGGGGAGTGAGAGAGGGG